AAGTGTTTTTCTCAGTGAACCCATTGAGACCCGTAAAAGTCAAACTAAGATTCAAATATTGCTTAGATATGAGTTTGGTTCAGTGTCACAGATCTAATCTCTGCTACACCTTTACAAAAACTTAAGGCTCTGACTAAAAACAAGTTTTAATAAGTAACTCCACTGAATAAAATTTCGCATAAATATTGATTTATTGCAGTGGTTCTACAATACAAGTCGTGTTATTTAAATTATAACTTAAGTTGCTTTAAACTTTTATTTTTTCTTTGGGGGTGGGAGGGGTGTCCATGTTAAAACCTATAAACATGTAGGAATTAAATATTTGGGAAGTATCATAACTTAAACATAAAGGTCAGCACCAGAGTTTTCTAGAAAAATATTCAGATTTTATTTTGTGGTTTTAAAGGCTCTACGTTAAAGATGGTAAGAAACAAAGGAAAAGTTGATTTTTTTTTTTTTTTTACTGTCAGCTGCAGTAGCCGCTCTGCTCTCGACTCCCATACAGAGTTGTCAGCTAGTGGTAATGCTCAGCTGCTCCAGTTTCAAACTCTTCGTTTGAAACTGGAGAGCTAAATATAATTGAAATATTGGCAGGTTTACCTTCGACAGAAAAAGGAGCTGAGTCTATGAAAGCAATGTAGCAGTTTTGCTAGTTTTGATTTCCAAGGCATAAGGTGGCAGTTTATCATGATTCAGCCAAAGTAATGAAATAACGAGCTTTTTATTGTCAATGTGTTTCTTCCTATTGAGCAGTGAAAGTAAATAAAATGTGTTGCATGTCTTTTGCTTTAAGTATTTACTTACTGGAGGGTTTTTGTTAGTGCTGCAGAGCCACAGCTAACAGTAGTGATGGACCATCTGAATCCAGGCTTCGAGGCTTGTACCGAGTAAAAAGGGGGCGTGGCCGATGAAGCCCTGCTTCAAGGCTTGTGTCGTCTTGCTGAAAACCACGTGACTGGCAACAAACAGAGGCCTCACATTGCATGGGTCACGTGACTGCTTCATTTTGCATGTCAGTTTTCAAAATAAAAGCGCGATGAGCCTTGCTGTGTCATGGGTTGTTGTCCATTTGGTCGCATCAGAGGATGATATTTGTCTTCAGTGGCCTAATAAAATGAACATTGACCAACATATTTGATGTGTATTGACGATGGCACTCATCAAAATATAATGTTTGTTACTGGTTTTCTCAATTGTAGATTATGTTGTTTTTTAATAACTATATTGTGATTTTATGATGTAAATCTCTTTGAACTGCATTGTTGCTGAAACGTGCTACACAAACTTGATTGTATGAAATGGAGCCAGCAAGAGGAAAATCTGACATCTGAGAATACTTTGAGATGATCCTCAATAAAATTCTTCTTAGATAACAATAATTAACCCTCCACCTCCCAATTTCTCACCTTCTGCAAAGTTCCACTATTATTTGTAGTCTGATTAGCAAAGATATATCAGTCTAGCTCAGCAGAAACAGATTTAAACTTGTTGTAGAACTAAAATTCAACATGTCGCCAAATATCAGAGCCAATTAGAAATCCAAGAAAAAGTGAACGCCCCAACAGACACTGCACTCCCAAATCATTAAAACATCAAACGTCTTTATTGTCAAATCCGTCTATGATATAAAAGAAAACCCAACATAACCACCGACATTCAGCATATACTGGGATTAGATTGGCGACAAATAATTTTAAAAAATATATGACAATTAAATATGGTTTCATTGATTATCCTGTTACTAAACATGAGTTTGATGAAAACTTTGACAATATTGCATTTAGTAATTTTTGGAAGTATGATCCAACTGAGTGACAAGACTGTTACAGTTTCACCAGCAGATGTCACTAGTGAGTGATGAACCTTTTTGCAAAGCAAAGGGCTGGAAAGCTTCATTGCTTCATGAGGCTTCATTTGCCCATCACTAGCTAACAGCTAGCTCCTCCTTTCAGCAGCGCAGCTGTTGCTCTTTTTTCACTTTGGACTGAACCATTGTTCTAACATTAGTGGGGAGGGACCTAAAAATGTATTCTTGTTCTTTTTCTTAGATGAATGGCAGATTTACTTCATTCTTAGTTTCTATTGCCTTTTTTATATTGATATTGTGTAAATACAAGGGTTTCTTTCATGATTTCTTTGGGGGGGGGAACAATTCTAGACTTTTCCAACATTGTGGGGGTTCGGACTTGCACGTTTGCGCAGTGTGAAGGAAAGAGGAGACGGCTGCACATGCATGCTGCGAATGAGATACAGGTGTCGGTATCACCGATCATACACTTTTTCACAGAACTCGGCCGATTATGATCGGTGGCCGATTGATTAACACACCTCTAGTGTGTGTTAATCAATAGATAGAACCCAATCAGTCTGTATTAACCAAAGGTCCTTGATGCTTTTTATCATTTGCTAACGCTAGTAACACTCAGTAACACTAAGTACTATTTGTTAATAGTTTTTTAATGATGCAAAACATCAAATTACATTTGTTACCTATCGTTAATAACTTACGATAGGTAAGGGTACCTATTGTAGGTACCCTTACCTACAACAGAAAAAATATTTAATGGTGGGAAGTATTGTATGAAGCCTTTGAAGATGCCTTCATCTTGAAAATGTGGCTCTTAAAATTATTTTATTTTTGTTGGGTTCAAACTTGTATTTTTTTTAATTGTTAAGTTTTGTACCTGTTGTAGGTGCCCTTACCTATCGTAAGTTTAATCATGGTAAACTTTATGGATGATGAAACTTCAAAGTGACAGTTAGGTCCTCTGGGGCCAGCATAGCTCTCTAACTTTGTGTTTGTGTGTTTTTAAGGCTTTGGAGCTTAGAGGACCTTATGACATTATTAATCTGTATCCTCCAGCTGATGATAAATGTCTGATAGGTCCCTCCCACTCTGAAGGAACATGGAAATCAACGCTTTGCATCAGACTCCAGTGAGAGAAGCAGCAGTTCAGCAGTGTGATGGCACCCCTGTGGTGCCATGTTATGCTCTTTATGTGTAGTGTAGTGTGGAACTGGATTCACTGTATTGCAGTGAAACTTGGTGTGTTGTGTTCCTGACAAGTCTCTCAGAGGGGCGCTGTTTGGTCTGTCAGATGCTGACTCTAAAGAAGCCGTGTCTTCCACCTGCAGAGCCGTTTTACTTCATGCAGGTAAATTATGATGAAGTCTTGCAGCTACAGAAGCTTCCTGTTGGTTTATCTCAGTCTTTCTGTTCATCTGGAGTCTCCTGTTGCATCACATTTTTGACTTTGTTTTTGTCCTCAGAAACCAGGAAGACTGCTAGTGGCATTGTGTACACCCGGATCAGTCAGCAGGACACCCTTCAGGACTGCGTCGGTAGTAAATTTTTTCATATTCATGAATCAGATACAAACCAACATTAACTCTGAGCTGTAGAACTTGAGTTAAATAAAACCTCAGGCGTTTCTTAAAGGGATCCATGATTAGTTGTATTAATATACGTCATTTGAGAAATATTTATTTTAGATGTGAAAACTACAATAAAAATACTGTAAGCTGTTTGGTTTTTATGAATTTAAATAAGATATTGTCACATGGACGTCTATGCATGATATGCATATAATGCATATCATGCATAGAGATATGCATGATCTACTGTCACAGACTAGAGACGCACTGCCCAGCCCCTCCTGTTTTCCTGTTCCCCTGGTTCTCTTTGCCTAGGTTTACGTTTTTCCCTGTTTGCCAGTGTTTACTGCAGTTTAGCCACATTTACCTGTTGAATGACGTTTTCTCTCATTCTCCTTCCTACTGCTTGCCTTAACAGGTGAAGCTCCTGCTGCCAAACGACCCAAACCAACCTGACGGGGATTGAGGAGGCAGAGCCTGTTCTCATTTGTTTTACTGTTTGTCCTTGTCTCTTTTTGAAGATGTTTTACCTCATGAAAACTGATTTATAATTTTGGATCAATAAAGTTTGGAAAATAAATTCTTTATTCATTTTTAGCTAATTGAGGAATAACTTAGATGTATGTGTGTATGTACATGATACATACACACATACATGTATCTACACATATACGTGTGTGTATTTATACGTGTGTGTGCGTGTGTATATGTTTATATATATATATATATATATATATATATATAGTGTCATTGTCAGCACTTCTCATAGAAAGAGTTAATATCTGATCCAGCTAACAGCCCAGAGCAGATTTCATAGAGAATCTTTTTACCTGGATTATTTGAGAAGACGCACCTGAATTCTCACTGCCTACATCCGAACGTCACAACCCGTCTTCATTCCATAGGTTAACCCCAAAATTAAATTTCATTTTTAACTATTGTAATTACACCTAAGATAAATTAATTTAATCAAAAAATGTGTGTGTGTATGTATTCCATCTTAAGTTTGGGTGCACCGTTTGCAGTTTTCTGACCGACCGCCAATTACTGATCTTTAAAAAGTTTTACCTGCTGATTTTGATTTTGGCCAATACATTTTTTTTTCTCTGAACTGTCACTGAATGTAGCAAAAAAGTCGCTGAGTTGGCAACATTGGGGTCACTATTGTTAACTGTAAACAATGCAGACATGAACTGGTGGGCCAGTCTATCAGTCAAACCTCTCATGGAAGAGCAACAGAGGACAGTGGCTAGTTTTTAAACCTTTGCTGAGGTAGATAAGATCTTATCGGTCTTACCCTTCACATGTAAGTATCGGTCGATCATCAAAGTTAAGGAAATTGGTGCCAATAAATCAGCCAATAAATGTATCCTATATTATACGTCACATGACCACATATAATGTAAACATCACTGTTAAGAGATTTTAGCAGGTGTGTGAATGATCTAATAATCGGACTGTTTATTGCAGCCAGACATTATTACCAGAACTAGAGTGCGCCAAAACCAAATTCTGTTTAGTGTCACATGGAGTCTTGGGCCGGCCCTGGTCGTGTGTAATTCAGTGTGCTTCTGATTTTTTATGTCTATTTGAACTTCTAAATGTCCAGCAGATGTCACTGTGCTGCTGTGTTTGAAGCCCTGAAGCTTTGACTCCACTGTCAGACCATGAGCTGGAGGTCTGAACCAGTCCACCAGTCAGGATATTGTTCATTTGAATATCCTTCTTTGCAGGGCCGTGAAGAGGCCACTAAAGGGGCAGGTGCTCAAAAAAAGGGCACATCTAACCACATTCTAGGACAGAATATTAAAAAAGCCACACAGCTTTCAGAGTTTGATAAACAATGATAAATTACAAAAATTGTGAGATATACAATCAAAGCTAAGGAAAATCTCTATATAGAGCAGAGGTCTCATTCTCGCGGCTCGCAGGACTTTGTCTCGTGGCCCCCACCGTGATATGACAGTATAATATTAGTGGGGCCCACAGGGTGAGCGGACCTCTGAAGGAAGTCCCGCCTGCCGTTCCTCGTCATGGCTGACATTTGGTGCTAGGCTAAGCTACACTGACTTCATGCACACTACGCTTGTAACAACAGAGCGGCGGATGATGGACCAGTCCGGTACCAGTTTCCCTTCCCTGCAGTCGCAATTCCGATATTTTCTACCATTAACAAATGCCAGGATCAAACGCAGAGAAAGGCGACTGCTACCGGGCTGCTC